AATATGTTTTTAATTTACGTAGGAAGATTGCTTATGGTCACCAGTGATGAATAAAAATTACAACGGGAACTTATAGTCAACCCAACTGGCTTGTTGCTTTATTTAAAATTGGTACAACGTTTCGACCCTATAGTTTGGGATTTACTTAGTATTACTTGAAAAGGACCCAAACTATAGGGTCGAAACGTTGTACCAATTTTAAATAAAGCAACAAGCCAGTTGGGTTGACTATAAGTTCCCGTTGTAATTTTTAATTTACACTCTTACTTGCTCTTATTGAGTTTTGTAATATTATTTTAGATAGAGACATTTAAACCACAAGAAAAACATGCCGTGCTTCTTATAGACGAAATGTCTATCAAACCTGGTCTACAATATGATAATAGTATTAGCGCAATTCTTGGTCGACCAACGATGAAACTGTCGAGTGGAGCGGATGCTTGCAATCAGCTAGCTACACACTCTCTTGTATTTATGTTATGCGGCATTTCCACGAAGTGGAAACAAACGATTGGTTATGAATACACAGCAAATTCATTTTGCCCAGAAGAAATGGTGAGGAAAATTATGACCATTGTTGAAAAAGCACATGCTAACGGAATAATAATTAAAGTAGTACTATCGGACATGGGATCGCAAAATAGGAGTTGGTGGAGACTTCTTAATATTACAGCGAATAAATATAGCAAGATCCAAAATTACATTCAACATCCATGTAATAATGAGGATAAACTGTTCATTATGGCAGATTCTGTTCATGTGTTTAAAAATGTTGCGTGTTCATTAACTGCAGGTAATACATTTTATTTATCAGACACACTAGTAGAAAAGTATAATTTACCACACAAGGAAATCTCCATCACACCTATTCGCGATGTATATCAATTCGATCAAAAGGATACTTTAAAACTGTGTCCACGTTTACATGAAAAGGCCATAAATCCTTCCCACTTTGATAAAATGAATGTTGCTCTAAGTGTAGGATTATTGAATAACAATGTTGCTGCAGCTATATTATATCATATTGATAGGAAAAATATTGATTATAAGCATAAAAGTACTGCGTGGTTTCTTAGTACAATACATAAATGGTTTACAATCATGACTAGTCGTTATGAGAAGCTTGCACTGTCTCATAACAATGAAAAAATATATATAGAGACTATCATGTTTCTAAAAGAATTTATAGAGATAGTTAGTGGAATAACAATTGGAAATGGAACATGGAAACCATTCCAAAGCGGATTGATACTTTGTACACAAACTGTTCTTGATATACAGGGTGAATATCTTGATAAGCAGAATTTTAAGTATTTATTAGTAGGACGATTTACACAAGATGCGTTAGAAAATTTATTCTCGACAATACGCGGACGAAACTCTGTACCAGATGCACGAGAATTTAAGCAGGCATTACGTCTTATTTCTTTATCACAATTTCAAACCACTAAAAATAGCAATTATTCTACTGTCGATGCTGATTATCTTATACAATACTGCAAAGAAATTAAACAGTTGGAACGTACAAATATCTCTGGAGACATACAATGTCTCG